GTGTGCGGGTGTGCGCTGGGGAGGGCCCGGGGCGCGGGGGGTCCCTGGGGAGCCTGTAGGCCCCGGCCCCTCCCGGCCTCCTCCCGGTGTGGCGGTGGTTCCCTGTACCTGAAGGCGTCACCGATGGGCAGTGTTTGGGGGTCATTGCTCTCCGCAGGGGGGTGATGAGACCACCTTATCTTCCCACTCGAGGTCTGCTAAAGAGCCTCCCTCACAGGAGTTTGCGTTACGTTAAGGCGGGATAATCATATAAATGGCTTCCCTTCGTAGTTCTGGTTGGAGAGTCACCGTTGCAGAGAGAGCCTGAAGCTATTGGAGCTGAATGTGACTTCTAGAAAGCTTAACAAGGAGGAGAACCGTTGCTTTATTTAACTTCCCTAAACTTAGTTTTGCGTCTAAACTTTTACTCCAGAGTGAAGAAGTTGCAAACTTAGGCTTGATAAGCAAAAGCTTATCACTGAAATGGCAGATGAGCTCTTGCGGGAGGTGGTGGTCATGTTTCACCCAGTCAGATGTCCTGTCTCCAGTTGGTGTGGCCAGCCGTGACTGCTTCAAGTCCCCTCTCTTTGCTTAGGTTTCTCAGCAGATTTCCCGACAGGCATCCAGGCTTCGCCTCTGTCCTCCTCTCCCGCACCTGAGGTGGACTCGTGGTTCTGTGCGGACCTCAGTGGTTGGCGACTGCAGGAGGCTGGGAAGGATAGGGTTCAGTGGTAGATGCTCCAGGAAGTGTAACAGAAACAGAACAAACACAGCATGTCCTTTCAGGGTCAGGGAGCTCCTCAAACAGAGGCTGCATCTTGGGCTGTCAGATTTTTATGCCTTCCGAAGGACCTATCTGCTATGAATTTGTGTAATTTTTATCTGGTAGCTTTTGTACTCTTTGCCTCTGTACCACCGTGCCTGGACTATGAGCTCTTCAATTTTATGAAATACTGCATGGAAAAAAACCCCTCCTTCTGTTTCTAAATGTCGACCATTTCATTGTCAGAAATGGTCAATAAGGAAGAATTGCTCATTTTCTTCACACCTTTAGTGACTTACAGACCTATGTAATTTGTCTGCTTTGTAATCTTATATTTTTTTTTTGAAAAATCTTAATCTATATAATAATTCCTTGTATGGGAAAAGAATCATTACTTTATTGGTCTTTGTTACTTTTGTCTATATACTTTGTATTGGATTCTTATTTTTATTTATTTGAGATGTATGACCAGGACTGCAAGGCAGTATTTGGGATACAGACATACCATGGATTTATAGTGATGAATGCTTTTGGGTTTGTTTTCTTTCTGAGTAGTTTTTTGGCCTTTTTTGTTGTGGTAATAACTAGGCTGAAATACTTTGCTGCATAGATATGGTGGGGATTTATTTTCCTCGTTATTTCATGCATTCACGCTGAATTGCATCAATTTCATCATTTTGTTCTGTCACTTGGTAAACTAAATATATAAAAGCATTTCGTGAGGGAGCTTGAAAAATCCAGGTGCACTCCATTAACTGTGTTACATTTATATACACACTTCATTCTTTCAGAATGCGAATATATATGAGGCACTACTTCCCTAGTGTTTTATTTAGCCACAGGTCTAGTAATTCACACTTTGTTGTTATTATTACCTGTTTGTCAGGTAGGGACGTTGAGCGTGTTTGTTGATTAGCCCCCTAGATGATACCTGGAGTGGAAATTGGTCCTGCACTGACCACCTTTCAGGCCACTTGCAGCAAG